CAGGCGACCACATGCCGCATGGAGTTCAGTGGCTCGGGTTTGAGTCTGACCTGTATTGTAGTATAATGAAATGAAAGTCAGTTGCAAAGTATGCTTCAGTGGGTGTTAAGATACCCAAATGGCAGAGCACAGTAAAGTTTCTGTGTGTCTGCAGATCCACATTTTGCTATTATGTTGAAAGATGCAGAAGGTCAAAACAATACCAGCCTCGTCATAAAGAATGTACTTTATACATTTACACATCCAGTTTTAAACATTTTGTCATGTCGGAAGAAGCCATAGGCCATTTCTTGGACTGTGCTCATGTTTAAACTTAGCCTGTATTTGAGCTCACGGAGACAGTACTGGGACAGGCATACTCACAAAAATACCAGACTTGCCTTTGACAGGAACTATGTTTACTAGCAATGTACTGGTTTAGAAAGTAGCTGCCATGAAATTAGTCACTTATTATTTAAGGTGAGCATGGAGAAACCTCCCCTTTAGTTAAACAATGCAAAAAAATATCTCTGTGTTAACCTGTATGTAATAAATATGAATAAACAATGTTGATTTTTGAATGGATTACATTAATATTTGAGCTCAGTGACTCTTAATTTGAAAGAAACATGCTTCTAAACTTTTTTTGTTTTGGGTTTTTTTTGTGGCTACTTGGGACTTTTGGTAAAACAAATATACACACGCATACACACACACACACACACACACACACACACACAAAGGCATGCAAACTTCACCATGGCAAAAGTTTAAATCCAAAAACATTGAAAGATGCTTCAGCAAACACTATTTATTATACATACACGACATAATATTCTGATGTAAGCATGCAGAGATGAGGTTTCAAAAAAGAACATAGATGTGCGAGTTACTCACTGTTGCCCATATTCACAACAAGTTCACACTCAAGTATGTTATGTGCAACCACCTGCACACGCTTGCAGACTGTGGGATGTAAATTTTCAGGCTTGAGAAGAAATGCAGGATGGAGGAGCAACCTCAAGGACTGCAGCAGAACACACAAAAAAAGATAATGAGAAAGATAATGAGGAAGGAAATGTAGGAGGACAATGAAGTGGGAGAACAGTAGAATCAGTCCCATTTCTATACGTGACACACTCTTTTGCCATGAAGCGCGTGTGAAGCAGGTAATGGTTGGGCAAGCGTTACATGCCCGCCTATTTTAAGCTTGGATATCAGCTTGTTACTTGACTGCTTTGCGCTAGGGTGTGAAGTGTGCTCTGACATGTGTTCAGGAGGCGGGGTGATGTGAGAGGTGTGTATATGCGTGTGTGTGTGTGATATACATATGTTCAGTTTTGCTTACTTTCTGTGAATGCTATGTAAATGCATACAAGTTCTGCAGCAAGCCTTCTGTGGCTGGTTGTTACTGTTGAGCTGGTGATTTGTTAAGTAAACCTTTTGCTTATCTATCATCTATCCTTTCATCTATCATTTCTGTTCACCCACTCTCTCCTGTGTTTTTCCATTTGGACATGAAACGAGAAGATGTAGTTGAATAAAGATAGACGGTAAGAGAGAGGCTGATGGAGATCATGGATAGAGATGGTGCGATAGGGCAAGAAAAGGAAATGTGGGTGCCGTGCGATAAAGCTTCAGGAATATATGGGAGGGAGACAGGCCGGCAGATAGGGAAATAGATCGGTGGCTGGGAGGGATGGTGATGAAGTGATGGAGAGTGTGAGGAGGAGGAGGATGTGTAAGGAGGGTGTCTGAGCTGAGTGCAGGGGGGGAGGGAGGGATGAGAAGGGGAGGGAGAGGTGAAGGAAATGGATAGAAATAGCTGATGCACTCTGAGGCTTACAGAAAATCAATAGCAGTCAAGAGGGGAAGCCACAACCCCCACCCTGGTCCCTCTCTCTGGCTCTTCTCTCTTTCTCTCTCTCCCTCCACTCGTTTTTCTTCCACTCCGTGTCTGTTCCTGTCTCCCTTTCCTCCTCAGTGGTCTCACCTTTTCATGCATGTTTCCAGCCCTGTCCTCTTCTTCTGCACCTCCCTTTTGCCCTCTTCTTGTCACCCACAGTTCTCTCTCTCTCTCGTTCTCTCTCCTCCTTCACCCTCTCCTGCCAACATTGTTGTGCTGGTTTCGTGAAACAAACAACTAAAGTCGATGGCAATTTTCTGCAGCCACGGGGAAGGCGGGGCCTGCAAACTATTCATTCTCCACATAGTTACTTAAGCTGGCATTGCTTGCAATCATTTTTCCTTCATTTAGATAAGACCTTTTTAAATTTCACACAGCAGGAAATGGTTACTGCACACTCAGTTCATTTTTTAAAAGTTTTTTCAAAAGTTTGTTTTGTGACTTTCAAAGAGACAAGAGATAAATTGTGGTGCTCTAAAGCAGTACTTTGTGTCTTTAGTATTATGAGTCATAGTTTTTCATATCATCTGCTTCACATGGCAGATATTTAATTGTCAAAAAACCCCAATTCTCCATCATGATGCAGTCTGTTGACCTTATTATTCTAGCAACAAAATATCTTACTGTGTCCGACTTCCTCTTGTTCAGATAGCTATGCAAAATTCACTTTTAAACACAAAATCACCTGAAAGTTAAGTTTAGAAAACTTTGCAGCCTATTGCTGTTTTCCCACATGTATGTAAATGTTACTTCACAAATACTGGTTCATTATGCTTTTAACCAGGTTAGCTGTTTTTCCAGCTAACCATAGCCTCTTGTAGTTGTACACTGACTGCTTCATTGGCCAGACTGCTTTTGTTTTAGTCCAAGATATTATTATTCTCCGAAGATGCTCATTGTCACCAACTGACTACCAACTCTGCTATCTTGGACTGGTGCTGTTTTACCCTGGAAAATTGCTGTGAGCTGGGAGGGCCACTCAAACCAGGTGAAGAACTGGTTCATGTGCTGCTGCAACAATATCATTGAAGTCTCCACAGCAGAATAAGACTAACCATCACCAACTGTAGTCCAAAACAGTAAAATTGGACTTTATCTATATCTTTATTTATAATGGGAGACTTACTTGAGTAGCAGCTGATTATATTACCCATTTCTTTGTCATAGACTTTTTTACTTGGTGGGGCAAAGACAGTTCGACCCCACTGCTTCCTCATATGTCAAGGAAAGTTGGGGACTGCATTGGATTTGCGAAAATGACTGAAGACACGGAAAAGGTGATTCAAGAAGGTCACATCCTTTGCAAAGTCCGTGGCTTGCCAATGAAGGTTCATGTGACAAAGTCCTTCGTACAGTAGTTCAGTGTCCATGAAATCCATTTTGTACTGTCTAAAACGTCCTAGATATTGTCGAAGAATTTGCCATTTCCTCGCACATTGTAATTCATACTGCAAATCCCACCATTCGGCTTTTCTCGGTGCCCTAACAGCAGAACCAAGATTGTGCACAGTCTGTTAGTCCAACAGTGAACACGATGTTACTGCAACATTTTAAACCTGCTCTGTAGCTTCTGTGTTGTGCTCTATAGAGTGACTCTAACTGAATGACTCGTTTCTGAGTCAATTTACAGGATTCTGACAATGTGCAAGTGAGACCACATTCAGGGAGGGAGCTGGATTTTTGCCTATTGTGATCAGTGAATGAGTGTTGCAGAGACGAGCCGCTATGCAGCCGGCGAGCTCCCTGAATACTTCAGCAGTATTCTGTCCCAAATCATCTCAGTGGAAATAGCCTTTTAGCCTGGTTTTCACTACACTAATATAAGCTTTACTTACTTCAACCTTTTCAATCCATTTATTTGTCCTGCTCTAGGGATTGAAGTATGAAAGGAAATGCTTTTTAAGGACTGAGGAATTCAGTTGTGAAAACCTCACTCTGCCTCTTTCTGTCTCTTCCCCCCCTTTGTTGTCAGTCATAGCTTCTCTTCAAAGAGGCTGGCTGTAAGCAGGAAAAATCCCACAAACAAACAGCCGATAGGTGAAAAATTCTCTTTTTAAACACCTTTGTAATTTTTTTGTGTGCATCTATTTCTTTTTACTTTTGATTCGTTCATTTTTATTGAAAAGGTAGTCTTGTCTGGAGTGCCCTTGGGAGTGCTTACCCTTGGTGTGTATACCACTGCCACCATCTGTGGTGAGAACGTCTCAGACGAGAGACGTCCCCACGACAAAGGAAAAATAAAAGCCAGAATAAATAGGAAAGACAATAAAAAGATGAAAGGATTGTTGAAAAACAAAAGAGTAAAAGTCTTAGCTGTGATGGAAGCGGCGGTATCATCAGAAAGCTTCTCTAATCCAGGATTACTGTGTTTATTTTGTGTGTGTGTGTTTTTGCATGTGTGCCTACATCTACTGCCTCTGATGTGAGACAAGAGTATGCCATATGTGTTTCAGTCACTTTTTTGCTGTACACACGGTCAGCAAGCGTTCTCACAAACAAACATGTTGTCATTGTTTTTTGCTGCTGTGTATAAAGCCTTAAGTTGGGTTAGAATAATAACAACAAAGGGATTAAATGGAGATAATACAGAGGTCTCCAAACAATGGCTATAATGTAAATAACGCCAAAAGGTATTCCTTTTATGTTGTAGTATATATTATAAAATGATACACAGTACACCACAGAAAAAAAATAACTTTCATGGCCGTGTACATAAGAAAAACTGATGCCTATTTGCGTTGTATTTTTAGGGAAATGAGCTGCTTCTGTATTTTTGGATGAGAAATACATAGAGAAACTTTTTAGCCTGGCATGATAATGGTTGTTCAAATACAATTTTGTTAAACTTACCAAGCGCAGATGATGGCGATTTCTGGGCAATTTAAGACTTTTTGCTGTAGTTTTTTTGCATGCAAGAGGGTCTGAGTGGGGAAAAAGAGTCGTAGGAGTGTAGAGATGGCTTAGTAAGGATGTCTGAGTGCCCTCCATTTGTTGTGACCATGCAGGGGCATCAATTGTGACCTTCAAATGGACTTGAAAGTGGTATAATAAGGAAAAACTACTCATTTCGAAAGGTTTGTAGCAAGCCTTACATGTTCTTTCCTTCTTTGTACAGGAGCCTCTGGCGGGTCCTACCACTGCCACCCAGACCATGCGTATGGAGAGGAGAGCGATAAGGTAAGAAAGACATTTATTAAAGTTTTCACAGAATTTCTGGAAAATGGAAAAACTTTTAAAATGTACTGGTTTAATGACCCCTCTCCCAGAGATGAAGCTCTGAGAAGTGCTTGATGGTGTTTAGTATTCAGCAGCAGGCAATGAGGCTTCTTGTGTAGACATTTGCCTCCAATTGCCTCCTTGAGAAACTCAAACAGCAGTACCTCTGCTTTACATTTCATAAATGCCAAAGTATGTTAAGAGGTGGTACATAACTGTATGCACATTATACATCTGTGAGAGAGGACTGCAGATTGTTGTTTAAGTTTATTCTTTACAAATAGTTAGGCTGTCATCGTTTCATGTATTTGTTGTTTACTTTTGTGTAATAAAGCATACCATACCATGCTTTTGAATAACCAGCTGATGTCCAGTTGTTTACAGCAGATTAATCTGATTACTGGATATTGCATTTAGCCGCTTTCCGTTATTTGCAGTGTTTTCACTAAAAACAGTTTCCCTTTTCTGCTAAGGGTGCGTATCCTTTTTGTTTCAGAAACTATATGTTTGCGTCACCAGTTTAAAAAACAAAACAAAAACCTTGTGTGTTTGTGTGTGTGCTACTGATAATATTTCAGTATACAAGTGTACTTGAGTAAATGATAGTCATCATCACAAGTGAAGTTGTGTGTTAAAAGCTAACAGATGAAGTGGAAAACGGGTAAAAAAAAGGAGGAGAGGCGAGACAGGATGCTGAGGAAGGTGTTGCAGAAAGCTTGGAGGAAAAGAGGGGAGGGAGAGAGGCGAGGCCAAAAACAGGGAGGGGGTATTGCTAATGATTTCACCTCCAGCTGTGGAACTTGGTTGGAGTGAGAGAAGCGAAAGGAGGGGAAGGAAGGGAGGAACAGTGGCAGAGGAAACAAAATGGGCTTTGAAATCTTGTTGATGGAAAGAAAATAAGTGGGGGAGGGAGAAGTGTTTGAGTGCTAGTGGGAGCATGTCTGCAAAATATTAATGAATCTGTAAAAGCAAATGACCATATTTGCTCAGTGTGCAAATTCGTGAACAGACTCTCATGGCAGGAAAGAGAAACCCGGTCTCTATTGTATTTTTTTTAGGTTTGTATTTTCATGCAGTCTCTGGGCCTCTCTTTTATTTTGGTTCTCAGCAAAGACAGTGAAGCCATAACAGCTGTTGGCCAGAGTTGCTATGTGTATGTGGGTGAGAGTGGATACATGCATACCCCAAATGTAGACATGGTGAAAGAGAATGTGGAAGGGTGTGTCTGCTCCCCTCCCTCTAACGTGGGTAGACAGGCCCATCAAACTTTCATAGTAATGGGCAATAGTCTGCATTTGTTAAGATGTGTATGTCCTGTCTAAGAACCTTTTTTGGCCTCATGTTTTAAGCAAGGGTCTTGGACAGGGCAGGCAGACAAGGAAAAAGCAGGGGGCACATGAAGAGGCGATCATAGATTGGTCTAGATTATCTGATGGAAGGAAAGGGGGGATGGTAGGAGGTTATTCGGAAGGGTGGGGAGTAGAGGAGACTGGCTTAGATATGAAAATGGGCACAGTAGATGTCCCTAGGGTTTTGGGGTTGGGGCGAGACTGGTAGAGAGGTTGTGGGGTGTTGGGTTGGAAGAGAGGAGCTTAGTGTCTCAGAGTGGGGTGGGGGTGGACCACTAGTGCCCTCCATCCAATGCCGTAATGGGTGTATTGTAGTATCTTCTGCTGGTTTTGATAAAATGAAATGGAGAAAAGCTTATTTTTCATTTCTTATGTAACAAATAACCTATCCTCACTGTTTCACTCCGATTCCAACTTGAACTTCAACATATGTTGTGTTGCGTCTCCCGAAAGAATCTGTTGACTTTTAAATGTGATTAAAAATGTGTTTCAAAAGCAAAGCAGTGGGAATAAGTTTAATTTGTTAATGTGTACTTCATATATGCCAAGTGTCCATCCTAAAAAAGAATTTAAAAACACAGATTTTAGTTTCAAAAACAGTCTGGGATTATGTTTTAGCCTGGACAGCAGGCAGAAAAGACTTACGTTTCTGTTTGAGCTTTGTTTGCTAATTAAATTGGGTCAAAACATTATAGCTAGGCATTTCATCCTTCTTGTGTGGGCATTTTTTACCCCCATTGCCATTTCTTCCTGTACCAATTTATGATGCTTATGGTACTGCTTTAATAGATTGTCATATTTGCTTTGCGACTCCTCATCTTTGGTCCAGGTCCTTTCTTCTTGTACCTTTTGCTTTTCGTTCATTGTAGTTTTTTCTATAAGCCAAAATCCCTTTTGTCTTGTTTACAGTGTCACAATCATGCCCAGCATGCATGTGTGTCGTCATTTTAATATGCCTTCATAGCCTTGTTAGTACAGACAAGAGATTATTTGTAAAACTCTAAAACACTGCTTGTATGTACAGAGATTTGTTTTAAAATGAAAACATATTTGTGTGACTGAAGTCTTAGTCTTCTCGTCATGTCAAGGCTCATATTTTTATTTGTTTTGTTTGTTTCGAGTTCGCCTGTTTGACGAAAGAAAATTTCGTACTTTGAAGATAAACTGAATTCATTACAGCACCGAATACGAGATGTGTTCTAGAAAACGACTTACAGAGTAGTAATACAAAAACAAGACTGAAGCAAAAGCCATCTCAAAGCGCCTTGTCCATTTTATTCACGTATTTATTTTTCAAAATGTTTGGTTCATTCCACCTTACCTGTTGAAGAAAACCCTTAAAAATAGAGATCTGAATGAATTTTAACAGGGGATAAGGCAGAAAGGATTTGCTCAGCTATCACATGGCTTCAAAAGAAGTTACAACATACTTGCTTGTATTCTGTTTATCTTGGACCCAAATGATAAGGTGTATGGTGAGTCACATAACATATAAAAAATTGAAGAGGCACACCCAAGTCCACATTTTTTCACTCATTTGGGGCCCTGATTCTCTCACGTTGCTCTAGCCCTTTGATTGGACAGATTCAAATACCAAAGTCACACTCATTTCTGTATTTCTATTTTTTATTTCTATTTTTTTTTCATCAAATATCCTTCCTTCTTTCCAGTCCGCTGATATAATATTGTACATGTAATACTAAAGAAACCATAGTTAGTGTTGGGGCTGGGCAGAATAGAAAATTTTGATATATTGGTACCAGTTTATGTAATATTCAAGAAATGACTATTCTAAATAACAAATATGCTTAATGGGGAGATTACACAGGTTACCATCTACATGTGATTTTAATTGACTGCATTTGAACATGACGGTGTGCACAAGTTTACTCTAGCCTGGCTTCTAGCTGCTAACCAGCTTTTACTGTACAGACCAGCCCTCCAGTGATGAAAGGCAGAAACACTGTTGTAAACACTGTTGTAAACACTGTTGTAACTAGGGATGGTAAAGAACTAACTTTACCAGGCGTGATTACTTTACTGTAATCACGCCTGCACACTATTTCATAAAAATTTACTGGCATTTAAATGGTGCTTTTCTAGTCTTAT